TTTACCTGTGTTTTATTGACTATGCAAAGGCATTTGACTGTGTGGATCATAACAAATTATGGATAACATTGTAAAGAATGGGAATTCCAGAACACTTAGTAATGCTCATAGGAACCTGTACATAGAACAAGAGGCAGTAGTTTGAACAGAACAAGGGGATACTGCATGGATTAAAATCAAGAAAGGTGTCTGTCAGGACTGTATGCTTTCACCATACTTATTCAGTCTGTATGCTGAGAAAATAATCCGACAAGCTGGACTATATGAAGAAGAATGTGGCATCAGGATTGATGGAAGACTCATCAACAAACCGTGATATGCAGATAACACAACCTTGCTTACTGAAAGTGAAGAGGACATGGAGAACTTACTGATGAAGATCGAAGACTACAGCCTTCAGTATGGATTACACCTCAACACAAAGAAAACAAAAATCCTCACTAGTGGACCAATAAACAATGTCATGATAAATGGAGAAAAGATTGAAGTTGTCAAAGATTTCATTTTATTTGGATCCACAGTCAAAGCCCATGGAAGCAGCAGTCAGGAAATCAAACGACGTATTGCACTGGGCAAAACTGCTGCAGAAGACCTCTTTTTAAAGTGTTAAAAAGCAAAGATTTCACTTTGAGGGCTAAGGTGCGTCTGACCCAAGCCACGATATTTTCAATTGCCTCTTATGCGTAAGAAAGCTGGGCAATGAATAAGGAAGGCCTAAGAAGAATTGATGCTTGTGAACTATGGTATTGGTGGAGAATTGCGAATATACCATGGACTGCCAGAAGAACAAACAAATCTGTCTTGGAAGAAATACAGCCAGAGTGCTCCTTGGAAATGAGAATGGAAAAGACTTCATCTCACATACTTTGGACACGTTATCAGGAGGAACCAGTCCCTGGAGAAGGACATTATTCTTGGTAAAGCAGAGGGTCGGTGAAAAAGAAGAAGACCCTCAACAAGATGGACTGACATAGTGGCTACAATAACGGGCTCAAACATAAAGATTGTGAGGATAGTGCAGGACCAGGCAGTGTTTTGTTCTGTTGTACATAGAGTTGCTATGAGTTGGAACCGACCAGATGGCATCTAAACAACAGCAACGACAACAACAATTTCTTATTACTGGTGCCCTTGCAGCAGATATTTCCATACATATGGTTTTACACTATGTCTGTTGAGGTTAGACTACCATAAGTGAAATTACAGATTCAAAGAGTATTAACCTATTTAAAGCTAGAATATTTTCAAATAGATTTCCAATTGTTTTGCATAATATAATTTCCAATAGTGAGAATGAGGTTGTCCAAGTCATACACCATCTCCAGGATAAAGTATCAAAATTTATTTGTTTTTCAACTTGAATGGAAAAAAACAAACAAACAAAAAATGAAGACTTCAAACCAGTTCAAACTGGTTCAGTCATGGCCCATGAAGTGAAACAGGAACAGACTCGAAGTTTTGTAATTTGGTAGATTTGACACAGTACCTGGAATGAAATAAGCCCTGGAATGGGAGAGTAACAAAAGGTGTAGTGAGCCCTTTCAGGAGCCTAATGCATGAGACTGGATTATTGGCAGGACTGTAGGAGAGTGACACACATTCAAACAGTACAGTTGGCCGCCATCTTTAAGTGGGGTGCTACCATCTCTGAGAGGGGCACTGCCATCTTTGAGGGGGACAGGGCTGCATGGGACTGTGCTCAAAATCTGAGGGCATGAGATTTGGCTGTTATGCAATGCCTAGCTGCCCTTGTTCTCTAAGAGGGAGATTAAGTTTCTAGCAGGGCTTTGCCTGTAATTTTTCCCACCAGGCTGTCTTTCTGGTTCACTATAATTTTAAAAATTTGGATCTATTCCAGTGATGCTTCCTCAGCGATAATTTAACCAGGCAGAACCAGGTCAAAGCCCTAAAAAAAAAAAAAATTTTTTTTTGATCAGTTTTAAATTCTTTCGTTGAAAGTGATTGATCTATTTTATTGTTTTTAGATAT